GGTAACGCCGTATATTAACCCGCCTTTTCTGAGACAAGCCCACATTTTTAAGGAGGCTTGGAGCAGACAAAGGAGTTATTTGAGGCTGAAGGCACCGTCCAGGTTGGAATTTTTTTAAGGTAAAAATATATAAGAGGTCCGTATACTTTAAAAAAAATTAATGTGACCCTCGTATTACTTTTCTCTTCAACTCATAAAATAAGTTCAATGTGGTCCTTTAACCAACGTTTTTTTGTTGTTGACCGTCACAATGTTAATGTGGCAGTCCACGATGATTGATAACGTGATAGATAACATAACAGATGGGCTAAATTGAACCGTCACGTCAGTACTGTAAACTGCCATTACGGTCAAACTATGAAAAACGTTGGTCAAAGAGTCATATTAGGTTTGTTTTATGAGTTGAGGGCTACATTGAGAAAAAAAATAATACGATAACCACATTGATTTTTTTCAAAAGTACGGGGACCTCTCATGCCTTTTTACCTTTTTATATTTTTGAAGAATTGTTTGAACAATAAATAAATAAATAAAATTTGGACAACAACATATGCACGTTTTGTAGATGTATAATGATAAATATATATATATATATATGTCCAATTAATTAGTCATTTTGATTATCATGTGGATAAAATTTGATAGTTAATAAATTATTTTTTATTAATTTAGAGTGATTATAAGGTAATATATATTTAAAAGACTCTCACTAAATACTCAAACAGCTTTACAAATGACGTGTTCGAACTAGAAAACTCTTAAGGATAATAATTATCTCTTAACCACTGAGGTAATTCGTTTCGTATTTAGATAACAAATTATCGATGCTCTAAAATAGGAATTTTTATCATAAAATGAAATGTTTGGGGAAAATGTTTAAAAATAATAATAAGGGTTAATGTGACTATATAGTACAATGTTATGAGCCTTTTTGAAATATTTTGATCCTTAATATTTTATTTTTTGTTCAAAAAAGTCCATCTATAAATAAACTACTAGTCGACAAACTGTCATTGCTTCAAATAGGTTTTTTATCTTAAAATGAAATGTTAGGGGTAAAATGTTCTAAAAAAATTGAAGTTATTATTTCATCAAATTTTATGGACCTTTTTATCTTAAAATAAAATATTATGACTAAAATATTCTAAAAAATGAAAAATAAAATAACTAATTTTAACAAATATTAAATATCCTTTTTCATAAACTATGACATATCTTAATAAGTTAGACTCCTTTTAGTCCATTTTATGTTAAATGAATTAAATTAAATTAAATTTTTCATTAATCAATATATTTGAAAAAGACAGCATTGCTATCATCTTATGTAAGAACAAAAAAAAAAGGCTAAAACTAAAAAAAAAAGTCCTTAGATTATACTCCTTTCTTGCTCTAAGTCTCTAAACTATTTTTTAAAAATAAGTCCTTAAAATATTATATGTAACCAGTTTAAGAACCAAAACTATTTTTGGTCAAAAATAAGTCCCTAAACTATGTCTCTTTTTTGCTTCAAACCCTTAAACTATTTTTTTTTCAAAATAAATACCTAATTTTGTGTGATGTGTTAACATCTTACTGGCCGAAAAACATTTTTGCTAAGTGAAAATATGATAAGACTTAAAATGATTAAGTATAATAATTTAAGTATTTAGTTTGACCGAAATATAGTTTAGGGGCTTAAAACAAAAGGTTGACATAATTTATGGACTTATTTTTACTCTAAGCAAAAAAAAAAGCTTACAAACAAAATTTTCGTTGTCAAACTTTGTATTATTAAGTGGTTTTAGCAACACATTTTTCCATTCAAAATTTGTAGTACTAAATAGGCTCAATGTAGTAATGTCACATCTTCTGTTGTATTTATTAATATATTTATTTAATGATTTTTAAATTCCCTAACCTTTACAAATTCCATCATTGAATTTTACCCCCTCTTTTATTTTGTTCATTGAATTTTAAAAGTTTTTAATTTCCTCAGCAAATTTAATACATTGAGTTTTTTGGATCACTGAACTTTACTCTCTCTCATATTTTGGTCACTCTGTCGTTAAGCGTTAAAAAGGATGATGCTTTAAAAAAACAAATTATTCCCCAAAACGAAGTCGTTTTGCATCTATTTAACTGCCCATTTTAATGCTATTAACTATTTAAAGGCCGGGTGACCAAAAAAACCAATGTATTAAGTTCAGTGAGAAAATTGAAAAGATTTAAAATATAATAAATAAAATAGAAAAGAGAGTAAAGTTTAATTATCAAATAATAATATTCTTTTATTGTTTAATTTTTGGATTCATAATAATTTATTGTAGTTTTTAAATATTTCAACCGGTCCAATAAATTTGACCAACAAAGTGGTCATCAACAAATAAAAATGGATGTCCGAAAAGCAACTCCATGACAGAATAAATTATTTTTTAATATTTAGGGTAAACTACGCAATTAATATCTAAATTATCAATTTTAGTCATTTTTAGTACTTAAATTTTCATTTTTTTCAAAACCATATCTAACGTTAAATCTTGAATGTGTATTAAAATGAAACAAAAACTAAAGTTTTTAACAGGGGTTTACTAAAATGAAACAAAAACTAAATTTTAGATACGGTTTTGAAAAATTAAAAATTTAGGTACTAAAACGGATCAAAATTGATAATTTAGATACTAAATATATAATTTACCTTAATATTTATGTATTTGTAATTATTATATTATTATAATAGTATAAAGTTAGATTGTAAACTTTAAAAACTTTTATATTGAATAATTATCGGTTGATCTAGAAAATAATTATTTTAAATAATGTTTAAGATTCAAATTAGAACGCTTTGTAGATTGATCGGTGAGATAAAAAAAATTGCTATAAGAAGTTTTTACTAGGGTTTTCATGGACGGTTAGCCGTATCGTGTAGTCTAAACAGTCGGTTAACCGTTTAACGGTTATGAGATTTTTTTAACCGTAACCTAACTATTAAGAAACGGTTAACTGTTGTTAACGGTTCAATTACAGGTTAATTGTATGTTAGCAGCTTATTACAATTATTTGTCAATTTTTTTTCATAATTCATACTACAAAAAAATGTAATACTTAACACATACTTACATCAGTGTAAGTATGTACATGTCCAAAAATCTTAGTACCTAACAATAAACATATTACTATATTGGTGTAAGTATGTTTTTATATTTTCAAAGAAATAAAAAATAAAAAAATATATTAAGTTATTTTTATACAAATTTTATTAAATATATATATATAAATTATAAATAATAGAAACTTATATCAAGTTATTTGTGTAAAAATATAATGAATGATAAATATAATTTATTAACGGTTAACCGTTGGTCCACCGTTTATCAAAATTCCTAACCGTAACCTTAACCGTTAACCATCAGTTTTAGCGGTTCGATTAACCGAAACCGTTTAATATTAACGGTTCGATTAATTAACCTGTTAAATATAACGGTTATACCGATTAACAGTTACGGTTAACGGTTTCGAGTTTTTTGGACACCCCTAGTTTTTACAATATTCAATCCAATTTAATCAATCAATGATTATATAAAACTATTATATTAACAAATATATTTTATCATTTATTAGATTATTAAATTAACGATTTTAGGACTTCGAGTAATTTGGCTCGCACACCTAGTTTTGAAAGATGAGTCTTCCGACATAAATTTTCTGTATACATAAAAACTCAAACTCAAAACTTACTCATCAAATTATTTACCACTTGAATAATCATATATTTCAGAGTATTTATTCATCTAAACTATATAATTGAATTCAACACATCAATAGTAACATTAATTAATAGGACAAATTACACCATTTGCTTTTGAACTTTAGGTGATGTCTAGTTTTGGCCACCGGATTATAAAAAAAGTTTCAATTATAACATTAAAATTTTTCAAATTGGCTTTTCTGGACACTGCAACATTATTTTTTTAACAGTTTATGATGTGATATTTTTTACTTACGTGAAGATCAAAAAAAAAAAATTATTCATTATTATTTGACGTGTTATTTTCCCTTTCTTTCTTTTTTTTCACCTTATAATATTTTTCATTAAACTTTGGGCTTTCATTTATTTTTAATCGCAACCAGAAGTCACCGTTCTAGATGACGATCAACTCTATTCCTCTATTGATTTAGATTTCCTTAAAATCTATTTGAAACTCACAAAATTAAAAAAAATAAACATATATATCCACTAAATTTTAAGGATTAAAATTTCTTTGAATTTGATTGATATGAGAGATCTGCATCGGTCTAAACGACGAGAAGTTATCATGAAAACCTTGAAATCAGTCCCATCGAACAACCGTCAAAGAAGATTGGACCATTAGAAGGTCAAATATTTTAGTATTAATTTTAAAAGACGTTTTTAAATATTCGATCTATCCCAAAAGTCGATGGCGACTCCAAATTCAAATTAAAAATCAAATTTATCAAAATTTTCAATTTTCCAAAAAATAATTCATAATTATTTTTAATTCGATTATTTCATTTTAAAAACGTTATGATAGAATACTCACCTTTATGGAGGAGCATAGATCAGGAAACATGATATATATATATATCAGCTTCCACACTGTTGATTGATTCATATATCCAGAGATTATTTTAATTGAGTCACACGTGCATTCCAAGCAAACAATATTCAACAAGTTCAAAAATTGAATCAGTAAGCAATTCTCCTATTCCCAAACCACGACCTCTTTATATATATATATATATATATATATATATATACACACATAAGATGCAAGCTTAAGCAAAACCAAGACTTTCGATTTCATGTTCGGAAATTCAAGGAATACCAGGCAGAAGTATTAGAATTAATTCAAATCAATTTTGATGTAGGTTGTAGTGAGGTAGGGCAACATGAAAAAGCTTGATTATCTTTGCCCATCTACCAATAATACATGCGCTGTTCATTTTTATTCGGTCAAATACGAGAAACAATAAATAGCAATATCAATCAAGCTTCTTACCTCATCAAACGATTATGCAGGCGTGGTTGTCCTTGCACCATAATACATGCTGGCTAACCATACAGCAGTAACTAGCAAGTAACATTATCGGAGGTTTTTGCCAGCAACCGCTAAATCCTCTTCGGACTTCCTAGCCATGCAAATTGCAATAGTAACCCAAAAAGCAGTAAAGAACCTACAGAGAAAAATGGTTACAACCCTACGAACGACTAGGATTCATTTAAATTTCGTCGTCGTCGTCTGACAGCAAAAAATCTTGTATTTGCTCCCTACAAACAGGAATCCAGAAAAAGAAAGTTATAAAATCTAAAGAGGTGATAGGATACTTCTACTTTACAAGATCACAACTTATGCAGCATATAAATTATTTTTATATGCACCTAGAACAGAAAAGTCATTAGTTTGAAGTTGATGAATCATAAACTTATATTTTTATGAAATGTTGTGTTAATGAAATTTTAGTTTTACACCTTAGCGAACTGGCATTGCCTCTATCGCAATGCTTTGCTCTGGCAATAATTGGCTGAGGTAAGAGGGAAACAAACTGCTCTGTTAATGAGGGGTCTTTAGGAAGTATCTGAAACTGGCAACTTGAACAAGCAGCAACAAAAAGATCCGAAGTTTGTGGACTTTCATTTGTCAAACTTGACGAGTTTGATTTTTTGAGCGGACTATTGCAAATAGGGCAAAACAACTCTGAAGAAAGAGATGCATTCGATTTGAGACCATGTCTCCTGTGATGTCTACGGGTTGCCGAAGGAACATTAGAGTCATCGATTTCTGGAATCGCGTTGAAGTGAAATGGAGTGAGCTTCCCAGCTGTTCGTACAATTGTGCACTCTCGAGAAGGATTTTCTTCCTGAAAAAAAAAACAGAAGTTTAGTTGGGCACGCGTTGGTTTAGTTCTCTTAAAAGAAACTTCCAGGAAGACTAACTGCTACTGGTCACACATTAAACGATCGACTACAAATGGAATTTCCTTTTCCATGTAAAATAAGTGCCTGGATCGCACATAACTTAATCCAGTAGAAGAAAATCACCTTTGGGGTTCAAGGAGAGATATGAAATTGAACTGCTCAATGAGGCAAGGCACACTGCCTAATTTACAAGCCCTCCATACCAGAACAGAAAGACTCTATGCAAAAAATATGCCCCCAAGAAGACTCTACCTGCAGCACTTTAACAAATGATGATACCAAGCCATTGATGCCGGAGCATGGACCGTTAAGCAACTCCACTATCTTCAGACTGTCCGGCCAAAATGAGTTTAGACCAGCCATTCAGTTATAAATTAGATGATTAGTTAGGTAGACATATTTTCACATAAAGGATAAACGAGGTAAACCTTATTAAAACAGAACATCCAACTAAAATTGTATAGAAGTTTTCTTATGCCAAAATGAAAACCAAATATGAGGTACAAGGTTTCAAACCTATCAAGGCTGCAAAGGGTGTTGAGCTCTTGTGCAGGACAATCACGAAGTGGAAGCACGACAGGAATCTCCCATCTTGAATCGACGTACTGTATGTCAGCTGACAAAGAATAGCCCTGACCCTGAAAATAGCAAAGTGATCGAATCAAATAGGTAGTGAATTATAATGAAAACTCAAAGAGCAAGTAATTGTGAATGAATATATAGGTTAACAGTGCAGGTGGAGGAGGTCATGGGACTACTGCTCCCAAGCATGCCTATTTCACCCCATGGAGAATGGTACTTCGGATGTATTATTGTTACAAACCAGAAAATATAAAACTAGTTTATTATGAATATAAAATGATCGTTTACAGATCTCCAAGTTATAATTTAATGCAGCACCGAGCACAACCACCTCAATTTCATACATGTTTCTTGCTTTAACTTCTTATAACCAGCAACGACAACTCATGACCAATGTTGAAAACCAAAAAAAGAATCAATTTCCAATATAAATATATAGCCAAATTTGTTTTAAGATTGCACTTAATAACGTTAGTATTTGCATCAAGTTAGAGCAACTCCTCTAATCTACCATTCTGCCTAGCAATTTGCCGCTCCAAATTCTAGATTGCTCCAACTCTTCGGTTCCTTTTTAGCTATCCATACTCAATACTCATGTCTAACACAAGGATAAGGGGATATGATCTCCAAGGTTCCTCGTACATGGGAAAACTTAGAAAAATCTAACCACCCCATCCCCATGTTAGACATATACCTATATTAGACACACCCCATGTAACATAAGACCTCAGACCAACCTCAATGATCCTTCAGATAATCCCTTAACAACTTGAACTAAAGTACTCTACCGATAAAATGAGTTAGACTTGTTCACCATAGAAAATAGAAATAGCTTTTCCAAGCAACGTTCAAACGAGGACAGACCTTTACTGTGGCAGAAATGACATGGCAAGCAATCCTCGAAGTGCAGGATCCTAGCACAACTCTAGTGTACCCATTTTCAGAAGCAATCTACAACAGGATCATTAATCAATTTTCCATATTCTTTTTCTAAATCAAATGTAAAATTTAGTATCAAACCTTTTGCAAGGACAACATCCGTAAATGAATGAGAAGATCTTCTTTCCCAGTAACATCATCAAGAGCATCCAATAACTTCTTCAATCTCTCCTTACAATCAATACCAAACGAAGCGAAAATATTCTCAATCGGAACAACAAACAACTCTTTTGATGGTGGGCCTAAATTCAACACAATCGATCTTATATCCCCAATTGCCTTCTCGATTTGTTGAGAAGGAAATGAATGAATGGAACTTTCATCAATAAATGCAACTCCTACGCCGAAGACCGGCAATGACTTATCTTTACTAGCATCATAATTCTTCCGCGCTCTATATAGCATCTCATGAACAAATTGTAAAAGTACCCTAAAATCACAACATAAACCAACACTTTCAGCAGAGTTTCCAAGTTGTTCACATTAAAAGAGAGAGCGAGAGAAGAGAAACCTTGAGGATGGTCCACCAGAAAAAGCAACGAGAACTTTATCAGGAGGAGTAATCATGGCGTTATAAGTAACAGCCTGCTTGAACTTTCCATAGAGATTGTTCTTAAAGCAATCCTTACAAAATCTGGAATCCTCGCCACCGATCCCGCAGCAAACGGATTCGCTGGACTTGCACTTCACGCAGAGGTTTTGGCGACTGTCGCCCCCATTTACCGCCGCTCTCGTCTTCGGCTTATGATGTTCTTCTTCCTTGTACTCCTTGTAGCAACCGGATGAACTGCAGGTCGACGAATTGCACGCCATTACACACTTTTTTGGTCAGTATCTTCGTCCTAGGGTTTAGGGCTTGATGGCTTGAAAAGCTTCATTGCCACTTTCAGGGTATAACAGCTGAAATTACCATGGATTTCATAACCGGACCGGTTAGCGAACCGGTACCGATTTATTGGTTCAATCGATCGAATCGGTTTGATCGGTCGAAAGAATCGAATGATATCATAATTATTTAAAAAATTAAATAAAAATATCAAAAATATTTAATAAAAAATAATTTTTTATATCACAAATCATATTCAAAGCAAATCATAACATATATAAGTTAAAAACCAAAAAATCAAGTGAAACAAAATGATTCAAATTAACTACAACATAATATTTAAGGTAAAACATATTAAATAATAAATATAATTATATAACTATAATTAAAAAATAAATTTGGGGTTAAAAAAATCATAACAAAATGATATTGTTTGGTTAAAATTTTTTTTTAAACAATCTCACATGGCTAAGAAACATAGAAGAGCATCCCAAAAGTCTAAAGAGTAAAAATATGAGAACAATACAATCTCACATTGCTAAGAAATATAGAAACGCATCACAACTAACTTCTATAAATAATAGAGGTAATTTGACATTCAAAATCATGGAGCCTTTTGGTGAGAATTGAGTGAATTATTTTTTCACTTTAATTAAGCTCGAATTTTAGGCTTAAATCGAGCTTTTAAATTTTTTTGAGTTCAAGCATTTTTGAGTTCAAGTTTCAATATTATATTTCGAGTTTGAGTTGAACTTGATAATTTTTAGCTTGTGAGTTTGAGTTGAGTTGAGCTTAATTTTAAAGTTTTCAAGTTCGAGTTGAGCTCAGTAATACTCGAGTTCGACTTGGCTCGTTTAACAAACGACGTTGTTTGGTTTATTTTTTTAAAAAAAACAAAAATCCTGGTTTTTCTCGGTTTTTTTTTCGGTTTTCAGCCGGTCCGGTTCGAACGGTTCAGCGGTTCTGGCCGGTTCACTAATAGCGGTTCAATCGGTTTAGATTGAACCGGACTAAGCAACGATTCTCGGTTGAACCGATTAAACCGGCCGGTCCGGTCCGATTTTCAAAACAGATGAAATTACTCGATCACTTTCTTTAAGGGTAAAATACATAAATAGTCCCTGATTATATGACTCTTTATTATTAAATCTCTAACTATGAAAAATTATGAAATGGTTACTCGACTTAGAAAATAACAAAATGATTATTTTTTTGTTAAAATTTTAATGGCTAGTGATGTGATAATCAATTTGATCTTAATTTTAAAACAATTTACGGTTAAGCACACAAATGGTCCCCTAACTATATGGTATTGATTTGTTGAGTCCATCGATTATTAAAAGTTACAAAATGATTATCTTACTATTTATTACATTCCTTTTTTCTTTTTCTTAAATTGACGGTATTATGAGTTGAATGTTAACCTACTATCTGTGAAATGATAAAATTTGATCTCATAATCTCAAATGACTATCATATCTCAGTCATTATGTTAATGTTCAACTTAGATAATTTTCAATTTTTAACGAAAAATAATGAGTTTGAAACATAATGAGTAGTTAAGTGACATTTTATAATTTCTAATAGTCGAAGGACTTAATAAAGCAACATTATATAGTCGAAGGATTATTGTAACTTTCAATAGTCGAATGACTTAATAAAACAGTACCCTATAGTTGGAGGCCATTTGTATACTTTACCCAACAATTTAATCACTCTACTAAATCTTAAACCAAAAAATTTGAAGTACTTCTCAAGAGTCGCAAGATTCTTTAAGCAATGTCAGTAGTTCGAATCATGACGTTTGCGTATGTAGCAAACTGAGTTAGAAGGGTCGCCCTCATAATGGGCCTATGTAAAACCCGATCTTGATTAGTCAGTCAATATATTATATACAGGTGAATAATTATATTACTATAAAAAATAATGTATTTATAATTTGTTTGTCATGTTTATGTATTTGTATCGTATTTAGTTTGTCTCATATTTGTATAGTTATTATTAATTATCGAGTGATTTAAGATATTCATATTATTTTTATATAAATTCAAATCCTGATTTATTTTAAAATATAATATCTTTCGCTTAGTAAAAAGTAATTGAAAATGGATCGGCAGTATTGAGGGAGTTACTTGTCATTGTGATCAAAAGGAAATCTTAGTTTAAAGCCCATGAGTCGAGGAAGAGAGGCTTTTTAAAATAGGGAACATACCCTTTTATTTTGGTATCTACGATATTTTTTTATAGTATTCACGAAATTCTTCACATCGATGTGTCGAGTTTCATTAAAATAATTTATTCAAACTTACAACGTCGAGGTGACGAGTTTCAATAAAATATAATTTTTTATTAAATTTTACTACATCGAGATGAAAATTTTGAATAAAAAATATTTTTTATTGAAACTTGTCACTTCGATATGATGAGTTTCAAGCCACTGTAGCAAATGTCGTATATCTCAAAATAAACTTTCGCATGCCTTATTGGACTAGTTTTTTTGGGTTTTGACATATTGGGCCAAAAAACTGAAAATAATTTCCTAAGCTAGGCCCAATTAAACCATACATAACCCCCACCATATCCAAACTAACCATTTGGTTTGAATAAGAACCAAACGACTTCGATAGTAAAAGAATCGTTGTTATTCCTTGAGGTCTCGTATTCGGTACAAAAAAATCACAGGGGCATGAACGTTCAATGTCAAATAATTAAGAGTTATGTTTGAACAAATATTATCTTATACTTATCTAGATTAATAAAAGAAACCATTTAGTTAAAATTTATACTCGTAATAAATCGTAAAGACATGATAAAAATAAAAACGGTAAATTATGTTTTTAGTACACAAACTATAAGTTTTGGTTAGTTTTAATACCTAAACTTTATATTTTATCAAAAAACCCTAAAGTCTAGTTTTATTTCATTTTAGTAGCCTTCCTCTAAAAACTTTAGTTTTTTTTTTCATTTTAGTACCACATTCAAAATTGAGCGTTAAGTTTTGAAAAGATTAAAAGTTTATGTACTAAAACGGATCAAAACTAATAGTTTAAGTACTAAATGTGTTAAGTTTTTAACGGCATGGTATACAAAAGAAATAAAAATTAAACGTTGTGTATGATTTTAAACAAATTAAAAATTTAAGTACTAAAGCATGTCAAAACTAATAATTTTGGTACCGAATGCATAGTTAAAGTGTGAACGGAGCATTCCACATCCACCCCGCCTAATTGGCATTCTACGTGTGATCTTGTTTAGGGGTAGAGCAACATATGGGTTCCATTAGAATTTATACCAATTATTTAATTGATATTTAATTAAATCTAATTATATGTATTTTGTATATCAAATATGAACTTGTTTTAGTGTTGGATAGTGATAAACAGATAAATAAATATATTTATATTATTATAAAAATTATGATTGAATTTGATATGTGGAATTGACGAAATGCTAATTAATTGGTGAAATTACCAAAAGAACTAAAATATACAATAAGAATGTACGTAATCATACGAATATTTACGTATTTTATCGTTTTTAAATTTAATTAAATAATTAATAAAAAAACTAACCACTCGTGTTTTATTTTAAATCATTTTATTATTTTATTAATTTGGGGTGATTATAAGAAATGTAGTATTTGATCGAATGACTCCCAATCATTTCACAATGAATGTTCAAATACATTTGTAAGTATCGTGCTCGAATCCGAAACTCCTAAGAATAACAATCATTCTTTAACTACTTAGACCATTTTATTCGTGTTTAAATCGTTTAATTTAATTTCTACGTACGAAGGTGATGTAATCTAAAATGGAGACAAAGCAAAGAGGAGGTGGAGAGTGGGTTGCCCCCATAGAGGTGAGATTAGGATGGGCATTAGTCAGTTTGGCTTTTGGTCGATTTGTTCCGATTCAAAAATTATAAATTTTCTACTTGATTCGGGTTTGATTTGAAAATTATATACCTTTCACCATCCGAGCCCGACCTGCTCTTTTGAGATAAAACTTGATTCAATCTAATATTATCTGATTTGAAATAATATATTTATTAAAAAATATTACTTTTATTCACTAAAAATAGGGATTTAATTGGAAAAAAATAATATGTAGAGGGATCTTATTACAATTACTCATAAAATATAAGGTAAAATTATATTTTTTTTTGAGTTAGGGAGTCGGATATTTTTATCTTAAACCATACTCGACCCAACTCGAATATAATCTCTACAAATCTGGACATGACCCAATCCAAACCCGAACTTTTTAAAAAAAAAATACATCAAATAAGACCGGGTCAAATTGAAATCGATCGAATTCGAATCTCATGCCCATACCTAAGTGAGACAAACCATGATACAAAGCCATGATGGTTGTCTTGTAAAGGGAGAGCCTCAATTAATTTTCAATGCATAGGAGATGGAGATTATTGACCGTGAAACCCTAATCTTGCCATATGTTCCCCTTTTTCTTTTGCTGCTCTTTGGGAGTGACTTATTTTTTGTGTTGACAATAAATCACCAAAAGTTGGGGGAATTACCCCCACAACCCATCACTCCTTTCTACTAGGGGTGTGCAAATCCGGGTACCCGGATTTTCGGGTACCCGAAACTTCCGGGTCGGCGATTTATCGGCTCGTGTCTCGACCCGGATGTTACGGGTACCCGGTAGTCGGGTACCCGCTACCCGATTTTTTTATTTTTCATTTTCAAATTATTAATTTTAAAAAAATATACATAAATTTAAATGTTCGAAATTTCAAATTACATACTCTAATATCCGAACATAAAATTTAAAAGTTCGAAATACAAAATATAATAATTCATAATATCATAATATATATCATTATATTTTATATAATATATATAAAAAATAAAAAATAAAAACTACCCGGAAAAACTAGATTTTGTGACCCATGCCCGACCCGAGAAATGTCGGGCCGGGTACCCGACCCGACCGGGTATTTTTTTTAGAGAATTACCCGATTTTTTAATTCCGGATCGACGGGTCGGATCAACCGGATCGGATAATTTTGCACACCCCTACTTTCTACATGCACATGTCTTCCAACCTTTCCTT